TTCCGCCGGTGTTGGGCGGGGGCCGCGGCGGGTGGGCCCCGGCCGTTGTGCGTGGGATTCCTGTGGGCTACCGGCTGTTGTGCGTGGGGTGCGTGCAGGGTGCTGGCTAGTGTGTGTGAGAGCAGTGTGATGTGTTGGGTGTAGTACGTGAGGGTGAGCATCGTGTGCCGGGTGTTGTGCACGGGGTGAGCCTGGCTCGTGGGTGTTGTGCATGGGGATGAGTGTGGTGCCCAGTGTTGTGGATGGAATGAGTGTGACGTGCAGGGTGTTGTGTACCCTGGATGTGGGATGTGCAATGTGTTGGGTGTTGTGCACGGGCATGAACGTGGAGAACCAGCTGTTTTGAATGGGGTATGCGGGGTGTTGTTCACAGGCATGAGTGCTGTGTGCCAGGTGTTGTGCACACGTGTTGCCACGCTGTATCCATCTGGCTGACTGTACGTGTCACCACATCTCCAGCTGTGTGGCTGTGCACCGCCCATGTGGCAGGGTGTCCAGGGGTGTGTGACAGCAGTACCATGGGGAGGCCTGCGGCTGTTGGGCGGTTGTGAGCCCTGCCGAGGGGCAGTCCGCCTGTGTGCAAGGTGTGCGCGTGAGCCGTGGTAAGGATGTGTCTGCAGGGGTCAGCAGCGTGTGCGATTGTGGCATTATGTGCGTCAGTCGGAAAGGAAAGTCTGGCGTCTGTGTTCACTAACCTGGAGCCTGGATTTGGCACCGTCTGCTCCAGGCTGCTCTGCCTCATGATTTTTGGACCCACCTTCTAATCTGGAGACAAAAACCACTGCCTTTGAAAGGGGAACTGATACACTTGTACATCTGAACTAAATCTTTTAGTCCGAAAGCTTTCTGCCTGTAACTCTCTTCTGAGAATGGTTTGATGCCACATGCAGGTTATTTTGGTGTAATGATTTTGGTGCACACATTAAAAAAAGAAAAAAAATAGCCATTTCTGTGTGTTATTTATCGTCATAGAGGGTGCAGTATAGCAGTTCTGTGCAAACCCAGAAATCTTGCCTAGATTGATCTGTAACCTGGAATTCATTCCTATCACTCTACCCTCGTCTGCTGTAACCGGTAGAGAAAACTGCCGTAAGCAGAATTAGCTGAGGAGAGGGCGAATGTGTTTGCAGCCGGCCTGGGAGTTGTTGGCT